TGGAACTTTCCATTTAATAGAAGCCATGGAAAGTGAAACCTCAGATTCCGAAGAGGGCTACTATACTCCTTAAAAATGCTACTCAAGTTACCCTAATGTGAATGCATCATTTATTTCCTATTAGAACAATCAATAATATAATAGACAAAAATCCCTGCCCTCATGAAGTAGGTGGTGATCTGGGAGACATTAGAAATTATACAGTATATGAGAAGATAAATGTGATTGAAGAATATAGGCAGTAAAAGGAGCCAGAAAGCATACAGAAGGGAATTTTAAATAGGTGATAAGGGAAAGCCTTACTAAGAAGTTAATGTTTTAGCACAACCTCAAAGGAGGTGAAGGAATAGGCCAAATGAGAGCTCATGAAGGCCTGACTTGGGGCATGGTTGGTGGGACAAGGATTTGAGAAATATTCAGCAAACAGAGGAAAGAGAATTGGTTGTTGATTAAAGTAATAAAGGACACTGAGGTTGGAGTTGTTATCAGAATACTGGCTTAGATAACACATTCCATTAGTTTCCTAAATAGTCCACATATTAAGCTAAAAGATTCACTATTTATTTATTCAATTCTATGATCCATGAAAGATAAGCTACAAGAAATTCTAGCTTTCACCTTAATTACTGCACCACAATTTACCCACACATAAAAAGCAAAGTTAACTGTACTGACAACTGACACTGAATAACTACCGAGTCTCATAATCATAATAGGAAACACAAGACCAAGAATTATCCGAGAGAACAAGAAAAGTTGCTTTTCTTGTAGACATAGCAAACTTGTGACACTCCAGAAGGTAGATGGGAACTGAGGGAGGTGATACTTCAGAAAAAATCCTGGATAAGTGATACAGACCAGACTCTGTGGGAAGGCCAAATCAGACAAGTAGACAGAACGAAGTTCCACGGGAAAATAAAAGTTTGATGCTCTGATGTCACAAAAACTGCCACCATAATGAAAGGAGCTGAAGTAAAGACAAGTGAAAGAGTAATCCAAAAAGGTTAAGGCTGAAATTACCCATTCCATTGGGCAACTGGAAAACTGCTGGTAACCTTTGTCTAAGCAGTTGAAGCAGAGAAAAGGAAGAAAGTTAAGTTCTCAGGCAGTTAAGGAGTAAATCAGGAGTGAACTAAGCCATAGTGAAACATTTTCCGGGAGCTTATTGGACAGAGCAGGAAAGGAGGCGGAGGAGCACCTGCAGAGAGGAACTCAGAGATCAAGGCAGGTCATGGGAAGAGTGGGGGGTCCTGAACCTCTCACTCCGCTCAAGAAAAAGAGCTGGCTGAGAAAGAAACCTAAGAAAGATAAGACCAAGTCCTACCCCTGGCTGAAGAGATGGGCTGGGCTGGCCTTGAAGAGAGAAGACAAACATCCATGCCATGGCCATGGTGGAGGCAGATAAAGAGGAATGAAGGCAAAGTCAGAAGTCAAACAGAGCTCAGGAAAGACCATCACCAATGGTGGGACTTGGGACAAAGAGGAACAGTGCGAACCAGACAACAGAGGTCTAAATAAATCCAGAAGAAAAGGGAGGGCAGGTATGCCTTGTACTTTGTACTCGAGAAAACCTGAACTCCTCACCCTTGTCTTCAGGCCTATTTGCCTGTGAAATACTCTCCTCCTGCTATGTTCTGACAGATGCCACCCAACTGCCAGTCACTATTCCCAAACAACGGCTTCCCATATTCCCTTAGCCTGGAATTTTCCTTTCATTCCCATCACACCTTCAATGGACTGCCCGCCTCCCCCATTCAAATCCAGACAGAATCTCCAAACAGGATCATAAATGGAAGTAAAGTCTTTGTGGATGCTACTAAGTTAAAGATTTTTAAATGAGATAATCCTGGATTTAGGGTTCACCATGCATCCACTGAGTGCTGTCCTTGAGAGGAGAGGACGCAGAGACAGAAGGGAAGGCCATGTGATCACACGAACACTGGGGTTGTGCTGGCTCACGCTAAGGGATGAAGGAGACATGCAGCTAACCAGGCAAGGAAACTTCTCTCCCAGAGCCTCCGGGGATCTTAGAACTCAGGGCCTCTCACACGCTAGGCAAGGCCTATGCCACTCCACCCAGCCATATCCCAGTCCCCTACTGACATCTTGATTTCCTCCTTCTGGCTTCCAGAAGGGTAAAAGAATGGGTTTTTTGTTTTCATCTACCAAATTCATGGTAATTTGATGCCACAACCCTAGGCAACTAAGACAACACCATAACCCCTCATAAAATACTATTTAATTCAACTATTCTAGGCTTTTTCTTACAATTTTAAACTTTTTGCAAGAATTAAAATAGAAAATTGATCCTCTGTGACAACACTCCTAACAAGAACAGATTCCATTCTATCAACATCCTCAATCTTCAAAGGCACACCCTATATCTTATGGATCTTTGTATCACTTCACAAAATATGTATCAGCTACTACTGTTTGATGAATGACTGTCTGATAACATATTATTGGGAGCCCCAAATCTGTCCTCAAAGGTAAAATTTCCTTGAAGGCAAAGGTCAGGTCCTCATTGTACCTATTCACAGCATCTAGCAAAATATCTTAGCAATAAGCACCAAAATATTTGTTAACAACTGCTAACTAGAATAATATCCTCATTGACTACATATGATATACTAAACTAAAATATTTCTTTTGTTTAAAAAAATACCAAAAGTATTTGTATGCAGCTCCCCATACAAACCACCCTCCTGGAGAGAAAGTTAACCATCCTGGAACCTCCTGATGAGAACCACAATTGCTATGGTTCCGTTCATTGATCCTGCTAAGGAGACCATCCATTAGTTGCAGTTTTGGCCCCGAAAGCTCCATAAAACACATTAGCATCTTTGCTGATGACTCAAGATGGAAAACTAGATAAAGACCAATGGTCTTCTATTTCATCACTGAAAACTAAAGTCTCATGAGGTTTAAAACTGGGCGGTTCAGCAAACATTTCATATGTAAGAGCTCACAAGGCTGGGCCCATCTCCGCTTTCTCAGGACAGCCAGTGGCCTGCCAACTAGCAATGGGGCTCCGTCTCCTCCACACACCACCATGCCGTGCCCTCTCAAGTTCTGTCACTTTGGTACACTTGCATTACAGTTCCATTCTCTGACCTGATTTCATTGGTTTTTGCCACTTGCCTCTAAGCAAATTCAGTATCAAGTAGTATTTCTTCTACAGTATATCTTAACACAGCTTTCTTTTTTCCCATTCATTCTAAGTAAAAACACCTCTTAGTTTCTTCTATAAATAGAAGTTTTTACTCAGGTTCCAGGCTTCTTTGGCTCCAATTTTAGAGGCCCCACCTGATTCAAATACCAGGTTCTCATTACAAAGAAAAAAATGTTACACTCGCACGAAGGAAAAGAAAACCTTTAGGGAAAAAATAAGCAAGTAATCAGTACTTGTAATCTTTAGAGTTATTGAACTGTCAAGATGTCTTAAAATTCTATTACCAGTAAGTGCTAATTAAACTTACTTGTCCTCACTCACCGCTCAATATAAAAGTGTTTGTTTTTTCATGTCAGGATTTGTTCTTTTTGTGTGTGTGTGTGTGTGTGTGTGTGTGTGTGTGAAGCCCCCCCATTAGATGTTTCATTCTAATTCTACAGAATTTCAGCTGCATCATAGGTTAAATTGATTTTTCTGGGTCAAAGTTTATCATAAACTTGTACATTCCATAACTCAAGTGGACTTAACGACCTATAGAATAATTCTATATCCTCCCAGCTGGCTTTTTAACTTCACAAGATTAAAGAGAATCCACCTGAAAAGCAATTAAATCCCAAGATAGCTTTATAGGTAGAACATGCGTAATTCACCACATGGTTTCATTTTGTTAAGGCTTTTGAAGAGGAAACTTTAAAACAGTGACGTTTTCTATTCTGTAACAAACAGCAACCTGTGTCGTGTTTTCCAAGGGAGAAGACATTTTACTTTTAATCTCATGTAAACTTGCGTTTATATAGGACAGCATCACATTCCAGAGTTTTCTACTGAGTCATCGCTAGATTGACAAATATTTCTATTGTAATGTACAACATAGCACTTCCTAAGTGAAATTTTAAGTTAAGGAACGACAAATTCAAACAATCACAACCGTCAAGCGATGGACTGGGCCCAAAGAGAGGGGTGTGATTTGGAGGAAATGCAGAGACCTTGCGAGGCTGGGACTCAGGGACCCACAGTCAGTAAGATGAGAGCTCGTTCAGACCCCGGGCAGCCAGGGCATACCCTGCCAAGTTGGACTGAAACTTCTCGGACCCGAGGGGCACAGAGGGCGGCCCTCCGGCGTCTGCCCGCCCCCCACCCCCCACCCCGGAGCTCACACCTTCCTCCGAGGGGCCCGGG